CATATATTTTCCTTGTCACCAGCTTACGACTATGGAGGAGAGTATTGATAACTTTGATAGAAAACCCCTTTGACCTCAATATCTCAATATCTCTTCCTCAGAAGGCCCTGAGCCTGAATCTGTTCACCTCCGGATGCAAGACTGGTCCCTGAGAGATCAGGTCTGACCTGACAGGAAGAGTCCAATGCGGCCGATCCGTGAGGGAAAGCAACAGAGTGAACCAAGCCCTCCCCGGCCAATATGGCGCAATCAGAATGAGCTAGGTCCTCTCCTACATAAACGTCTGAAGGACTCTCGGAATTAGATGGAATGGGTGAAACGCATAACATAGGTGAAACTCCCAGGGATTTGACAGTGCATCCACTGCCAGAGCGGGCTCCCCTGGATGCAGGGAAAAGTATTGATCCACCTTTGCATTTCCCTGCGAGGCAAAAAGATCTACGGACGGAGGACCCCACTTCTCCGCCAAGAAGGAAAACACCTCTTGGTTCAGACTCCAGTCGTCCTGCAGAATCTGATGGCGACTGAGGTAATCTGCCAAGAAATTGTGGGTACCTTTTTAAGTGAACCGCCGAAACTGAGGCCAGGTTCTCCTCCGCCCAGCAAAAAATACTGCTGGCAAGGCTCCGTAGAGCTGGACTCCTTGTGCCCCCTGCTTGTTCAAATACACCACTGTTGTAACATTGTCTGACAACACCAACAGGTGTCGACCCTTCAATTTGTCCCGGAAACTCAAGACAGCGTTGGCTACAGCCTTCAATCGAAGGGCCCGCTTCACTAAGCTCCTCTTCAGAAAAACCCACAGGTGCCTTAGGACGCACCCGGTCAGCCCCTGTAGCAGCAGGGGTTGATGTGGCACTGGGGTTAGGTTTAAAGCCTTCTAACACAGATCTGAAGGATTGGAAGTAGAAGCCAGCTCCTCCTTAACTGTTAGTAGATTACTACAGGCTCTTCCTTTTAAGAGGTCGTCAATACACTTCCGACATAAGGCCTTTGCATAAGTGGACCCCAGCTTGCAACTGCAAACCGCACATTTCTTTTTAATTGCCACTTTTGCCTTATCTGAAGCTCTAGCCTGAAATAAAACAAACAAGAAGAAGCTTAGCCTCAATTCAACAGAAAAAAATAATTAGAAGAGCCCCTCAACACCAAAAGGACCTGCCCCAAGGCACCCAAGGTGGAGAAAAGGAAATAAGTCAGAGGAACCAGGGTGGTGAATGCAATCAAAATCACCCATACCTGTGCCGGGCTGGCGCCTGATGGAACTGCGTCTGCTGCTGTAGAGACCAGAGGCAAAGAAGGATCCATCCCTGCGGAGAGTACTCACACACCGCCAGCGCTGTCTCAGTCGCTACTGAGAAGTGAGCCCATTTACACCAGCCAGGGCCCTCCCCTTCCTCCTGCTCCGAAAACGAGGCTTGGAACACAGCCTCGGGGCCCGGAAGTAATGTCCCTCGCGCCGGAAGTGACGTACGCGGTCTGCCCGTGGAGAACCTCGCGGAGCCGCGGCGAGAAGACGAACCCCTCTGACCAGCGTTCACCCCCTCCCCGCGACTAAGCCAAGGGAGTAACGCCATCCTGGTCATGGCCCTCGCCGGGCACTGAAACGGGAAGGAGAGCCAGCATACCCACAGCAAGCTAATGGGACTGGCTGGAGGCCCAAGGTAAGCCTGTTACCCAAGTTAGTGGAAGTAAAACCCCCTCCTGGCTATTTGCCATATGGAGGCTCTTCCCAAGCGTTCCTGTGACGCGCATCCTCAGGTTGCCTGAGGAAACACAAAGGACTGAGGAGCTGGCCAGAAGGCGGACCTTATAAAAGGTTATTGGTGACGTGTTTCCTGTGGGATTGGGAGGGGATTGGGAGCATATCTCATGCTGTCCTGGAAGACGTTGGGGGGGAAAAAGGATTTTTGCACTTACCATGAAATCCATTTCTTGGTACACAGGTGCCACCCCTCTGTGTCTATGATCTTGTCCCTAGCATTGCTGTTCTACAAAACAGAGGCATGCCCCCCCCCCCCTCCTGGTACTTTAACCCAATTGTTTCTGAATTCTCTTTTCCTCAAGAAGCGGATTTAAAAATTTTTAAATTTTTTTTTTTTTGGTACATGCCAGCTTAAAAAAAAAGTATACACTGTATACATTTTTTTTTTTAATTTGAAGAAAACCTGTGTAAAGCGCACACTAAAGCTGCTAAATTTGGTCTGTTCCTGTAGGCATTAAATATCTCTGGTTATGATGAAATGGTAAGAGCAGCTACCAAAAGATGCATCTGGGCAGACTGATGCCTGCACCAGCATCCACCCCTTTTATGTCTGTGTAGAACAGGGGTGGCAAACTCAAATTCATCGGGGGCCGCATCAGCAGTATGGTTACCCTCAAAGGGCCGGTTGTATAGGACTATGCATCTACTCTTTATTATCATAAATAGTTGCCTCTGCATTCAGTTGCTACTGGTGATATGGAATTGGTCAGTATATCCGAAGTTTACTGCTCCACCTGCCATGGTGCCGTAAAGGGCAGGTGCAGACCAGCATGGAGCCCACTCACACTTCTGTAGCAGGTGATGTAAATTTGAAAAAGAGGGTCACACATCACTGGTAACATCCACAAGAAAATTATTGGAGACTGCTCAGACCGAACACTATGGTGTCCTCAAAGTTCTCCAGTGGACGATACCAGCAGTCTGCAACCCTCCTTTTCAACTGGCATGGAATTAAATTATTCTCATAATTATAAGCAGACATCCAGACCACCCCACTCCCAATACAGCAGATGTCAAGTGCCCTCCCACCATCAAAAGTACGCTACGTACACAGTGCAGGGGTCAGGATTGCGCCTAAAAATTCCTCACATCTGTACTCTCCCCTACCTTCCTACCTGGACCAGCTCTGGTACCTCCCTGTATAGGCGGCTCCCTCCCTTTGTATTGGGCTATAGTACCTTTTTTTT